ATCAGCTGACAATTTAGGCATATTAAAAAGAAAACTTCCAGGTGAAGCACTTTCCCTGCAGCTCACACTTCACGCGCTCTGCTGCCATTATTTAACTTTACCGTCTTTGTTCATGGCTCGCTGGTGGTATGTGTGTGTTTGTGTTAGTGTATGTGTGTGCTCGTCTCCAGTGTGTGTGTATTGACCAGGTGGGGCCATATATCAGCTCAGGTCTTTATCGATGCTGCGAGGCAGGGAGGCCTATCGATGAGGCTACTTGTTTTAGTGAAGCAAGACTCGCCCCAGGCCACAGCTCCACCCTGCACAGACTGAGATTAACAATGAGAGAACTCAGGCCTAGACCAATATATAGGAGTGCAACAGAGAGCTGGTGTAAACCTTGAACTTCTGGTTCCTTTTCCAGAAGTAAGAAAACCTCCATAATGTAACCTTGCTCAAAAGCTGGTCACTCTGTCTTGATAAGAATGGTATATTTTTCCTAAAACAATTACGTAATATTGTGTATTTAGTATTTCTGCTTTTAGCAGGCTTAAAAGGACCAGTTTATAATATTTAGTGGCATCTAACAGTAAAAGTTGTAGATTGCAACCAACTGAATACCGCAAAACTTTTAAATAACATGAAAGACCTTATCTAGAGCCAGTTTGGTTGTATTGAGTTGCAGAACCTAGTTGAACAGAGGCTAGACAGGCAGACAGCTCTTAATCTTGCACTGGAAATCTGATGGCAGTCACTTCTGGATGCAAGTGAAACGGTTTGATTATATTATTTTTAAACTGACAGTGCTGTTCGATTCTTGACTTGTCTTGACTTTGTTGTAACAATGTCACTGTGATCTCAGATATCTCAGCAATGACTTTGGTGAATACAGTGTTAGCAGAACCAACAGAATTACATAAACTAGGAGTGTGTCATATCGTATTATTCACTGTAGTATCAGTATGATTTTTAATATAATTAAAAAATAATTCATACCTTCATATCATGATAATGGCAATATTCCAACTTGTTGCCATAATGATGATATACCCTTATGCACAGCAGCAACAAGCATTGCTGAAAGCGACTGGAACATTGCTCCACAATGGAGGTAACTTTGTGAGTCAGGTGAGAATCCTTGCCAAGCTTCAATCTGTGCGTTTGTGCCCAAACTACAGTGTTACCAAACCATCAGTGTCCTTTGAGGAAGTACAGGCAGCTACGGAGGCGGGCACTTGGTGTGACGCATTGATAAGGCACTGTTCGTTAAACAACAATGGTGGTTGCATAAAGGTTAGCATAGATGCTGATAGACAGTTGGTTCATCCAATCAGCTGCCAAGTATCTTCCTGCCCTTTTTCTGCCTGACTTCCCAGATGGTTCTGTGTAACAAGCCTGCTGATTATGGTGTTCCAAAAAGGGGAGCGACTTCAGAAGCACGGTTTGATTTGGTTACAAAGGATCAGATGTACAACAAACCACAATCATATGTAAGAAGAGCAAGAATACTTTAACAACAAAAGCTGCCAATACAACAATCTTACTTTTAGAACCATATCACCCACCCCTAACATAGGCAAAACTATGAAAACAAGGCAAAGCTGTAATAAACTGGAAGACCTAAGCAGGAAAGATATCAATAACACTTTTTACACATCAAATATTGCCACAAAAAAGCAAGCGCTTCATAAGTGGTGATTTAAAATATCATTCAAATTTACAGGCTGAGCTAAGAGAAAGGACATTAAATACAAAATAACTACAGGCTGAAATTGTCAGTAAAGCTTGAAAAGAGCTGTTAAGTGTGAATCTGTGTATGTGTGTGTATTTGTACTGTGCACATTTCAGCTGTTAGGACATCACAAAGCATTTAAAAAAGCATTACTTGTATCCAAATCTAACAAGCACAACAAAGTCCTGTATTCATTATTGATGACTTGACTCGTTTGCTGCTGGAGATTTATATTTTTCTTCATTTGTGTGTGAAGTGAGCCTAAGTAAACCCTAAATTGAGCATAACGCCTCTCTGCCTGGGGAGTCGACGATGACTCTCTGCCAGGAACGATGTGGCTACAGTCAGTGAGCCATCGGCAATCTGCTTTGTTATGCTCAACGCCATCAATCTCCATGCATAAGAATAGCCAACTTCAATACCACTATTGGAAACAGCTAAGGTCAGAGCCTCATCCCACCTCAAAAAGTTGCTGTGATTGATTTTTACATTTTTAAGCCATTTTCCATCAAGTTTTGGAGCAGTGCGGAAGAAAAGCAGGGCACTAATATGTCAGATGGATTCATCATCATCGGTTTGAGGAAATGATTATCTGACAGGCATCTAAATGAGAGGGAGAGCCCGGACAGGGGTGAAAGAGCATGATACTCACCTTAACGGGGGAAAGAAAGGGAATCACAGCAGCTCAAGCAAGTGAGGAATAAGTGGAGAAAAGTGGAGAGAGGGAAAATGCCAGCTTTTATTAGAAACATGGATTTCAAAACAGAGGTTGTCAAAAGAGTATCAGTTAATTGATCTTTCTCATCTCTATAAGATGTAATTTGCATCACTTTGCTTTGGTCTACGTGTTTGTCTTTCCCTGTGTGTTTGTGCGTTTGGTGAACATGTACAGCCACGGAGAAATTTCAGCGTGGGTGAGGTGGTTTATGTTGCGATCAAACAGACTTCTGTTCCGCAAATAAAGCCAATATTCTTCTCTCGCCATGTACAAAGGACACACTCCCTCTCACACAAGGCCACATGTTGTATTTGTATTTGATTGTCTCTTTTGATGTTTACTGACGGACATACGGGTATTTTGATGATTTCCTGTGTCATCTCCCAGTCTCATCATCGGCTTTCACGACTAAACAGTGGCTGTTATTCTTACTCATGAAAACACACAAATTAACTGAGTCACTTTCCCTCACCTTCCCTCCCTTGTTCCTGTCACATCCCAGTCTGTCTCATGTCCCCATGTAAAAGATCTTGTCAAATTTAACTGCCAATCATATCCCCACCATCCTCCAGTATAAAGGCCTGGGGCTAGATGCTCAAGACTCTATGTTAATAGTAGTGTAGTGCCAAGTAGGTTTTCACACACAAAAAATGAACCTCTGTGTTTTGGTGCAAAAATCTTTGTAAGTGGAAAATATAAAGAAAGATAAAAAGCAAGTACTGCAAGTCAAGAAGCATAAACAGAAAACACACAATAAAATAAGAAATATAAAGGATCACGCATTGAGACGCATCCTAATGCCAGGTGTGAACTGACGTACTGAGAGCTGTCCACTTGTGATCGGATTACCTAAGACACGTTAGTGTCCAGTCCCCTTACTAAACCTGTCCTTGTCCCCACTCCTAAATGCCTCTTCCTTTACCAACTGTTTGAGCTTAGCTGTAAAGAAGGGTTTGTCACCGTTATAACTCACCCTGGTGCGTGATGGTAGCAGTCTCCACAGAAGCCTAACCCTCTGCGAAGTCATCCAGACTGTCCTGAAAGCCCCCCAGTCAGTACAAGATCCTCCACAGCTTCACTGTTCCACTTTAATTTCTGCCTGTGTGCAGGGATTAGATGGACCATGACGTGGTCAGAGTGGCCCAGTGTGGCGTGGGGGACAGCGTGATAGGCACTGTTGGTTGTAGTGTAGTGATCCAGAATAATCTCCTCCCTGGGCAGGCATTTGATAAACTGTATTTGAGAAGTTCATGGTTGTGATTACCTTTGTTAAAGTCACTGAGGACAATAACTAAGGAGTCCAACATGTTAGCAGGAATGTTAACACCAACCCGTATAAACGAAATGAACTGGAATCATTTATGAAAAATGATTCTGGATCAGGGCAACAGAGCTGCAGGATCACTGTCACATCATTACACCAGCTGCTGTTGGAGTAGAAACAGATTCCTCCACCTTCTGTTTGTCCTGAAAGTTCTGTGTCGCAATCCGCTCTCAGGAGATAGAAGCCTCCCGGCTGCAGTACAGTTCTGTACCTGTGTAAAACGGTGTGTACAAATAAATGCAAATACCATTTTATATGTGAGAAATGGCACATGCATATTTTTTGTGCGTATGTATTGTTCATACATCTGGCTTTTTTCTCAAATAGTAAAATGAAGAGAACCATAGGAAAGCAGCAGAATCTGATTAATTATACCTTTCCTGCAAGGCTGTTTTCTGCCTGGAGTGAAACAATGTCAGCAAAGCAAATCTTCCAGTCTGGCTGCTAGTAATCCCACTTATTTCGCTGGGATAGGTGCAACCTAAAGGTCTCGGTATGCTTCAAACAAACTAGTCAAACATCTTGACACAGTGAATTATACAAATGGTCTAATGTTGCACGCTTTCTCGTGGTGTTGCGCTCAGTTGTGCACATGAAAAGTGACAATAGTTGTCATGTGAAAAATTGGAAAAGATTGTTTGAGAAGAACTTCCAAACTTGCCACCTCACCTGGCCAATCTGTACACAACGAGAGCAGGACTGTTGAATTGTCTGTTTCCGAAAGTTCCAAAAATTGTCGGACTCAGCTCTCTGATTCTGCCATGAGAAAAGATGCTCTTAGATAATCTGACAAGCACTTAGTCGTAGGGATACTAAAGCCTAAACCCCAACCACAGCCTGAGAGGCTCAATTAATTAATAATGTTGGGGGCCTGGTCAACTGATTGGAAGCAGAATTGCAGAAGGCTTTTTAGAAAACTTTTTTTTGTATTTCAGAACATAAGCCTGGGGTAAACCTGCCATTATTCACTCAAAATGTGGACAGGCACCTCCATATCTTTTCTTGGTAAAAAGCTTCCTCAGAATGCAGTCAAATGGTGAGAAACATTGCCAAAGCCAATATTGTTCTAATTGTAGAAATCGCTATGCAATGTTTCTGTCGGTTTACATTCTAAATTTTCCCTTCAGATAGATTTGACAAGCTGCAACACAACTCAGACAACTAAAGCAGTCACTAGGAAATCAGCCTTTACTAACCTGTTGCTCTTCTTCCTGTCTTTTCCTCTGTCTCTGTCTTTGTCTTTGCAGGGCAACCAAGAAGCCCCAGCTCCCCCTGAAGCCATGGCCCAACCCTTCCCACCGGCCCAGTACCCCCCTCCACCACAGAATGGGATCCCAGCCGAGTATGCCACGCCCCACGCCCACCCACCGGCCGACTACACGGGACCAAGCACAGTGGCCGAGCACGCCCTGACGCTCTACACGCAGACGCACACACAGAGCGAACAGCCGGGAAACGACAGCAACACCCCCGCCCTCACAGCCAACACAGTAACAGTGAGTCTGCACTTTATACTGGCAACACTGAAGGTTAAAACAGTTAGGGGACTTGACTGATCTGGTCTGATGGTTAATGTAATTTTCCAAGGGTTTTCTTTTTCTCAATACAAACACTTTCGAAAAACATTATCCAGTTCCCAGTTTTTAATTGTTTATTAAACTAATTTCTTTGTACAGGGTTCATACAAACTCTTGAAAGTTTGGAATGCTTTATTTTAACCGTTGCATCTTCAAAGTTAATCTAAGTTTGAATATATTCCTTGAAAAAAATATTTTCAAAATAATCTGGTCATCTACACAATCACAAATATAAACCAAGTCTTTTAATATTTGAAATGAATTGATCCCATATTTGTTTGTTGTGTCCTGGTGTGTTCAATCCTCATTCATAGCTAGATAAGTCTTCTGTTGATCACTTCCTCTGGAAATTAGCAAGCGTTAAATAATCATGATCAAAACATACAATCAAAGTTTAAATGAACAGCTAGCAAAAGGTGGACAAGGAATTCTGTAAACAGTTGCATTTATAGTAACAATTTAGATGTGATGATAAAGGCTTCAAGAGTCTAGAAGTTTTGGTTAGGGTATCTTTAAAAATGCTTGAAAAATGCTTGAATTTTACTCTTAAAAAGCTCTATGAACATTGTTCATAACTGAACTGATAATTGAATAACTGAATTATAAATATACTGCATGGCTGTCTTCAGAAAATGGAAGAAGACACACGTAACATCTCTCTATAATTTGTGATAATAGACATGCTGTAGCCTTTCCATTATTGCAACTTCATTCAGTTCTATCCAACTTGTTCCATTTCAAGCATACGGTTGGACATTTTTTTCATTCCATCATGGTGATGCAGTTGAAAACACGTTTGACAGACCAGGTTGACTCATTAGTCCACTGCAGTACACACATTCTTTACTCAAGTAGAAGGGCAGGTAGTGTGTAAAAATAAAAATAAGACTACAGTAAAAGTAGAAGTATTGATTCAACTCAAGTAAGTAAAGAACAGGTTTTGCACAGACGATAATTACTGAGAGAGAGAGAAAAAGTGAGTGGCAAAGAGGAGAGGCAGGCCAGAAAAATGACAGAAACAAAAACTCTGTTGTAAGGGTGAACTAGCCCCGCTCAATTGCACAACCTTAGTGCCTCACTGTAAAAATCTAGTTAGCAGCTACAAGTCATTGTTTATCTCCAGATAAAATCATAAGAGAAATCACAATCAGTCATCTGATCATTCACCACTGAAACATTTTACCTCCAATTTAGACAATTTTAATTGTCTTTAACCTGATTCCTATCTGCTAGATAGCTAACTATCTGTCCACAGTCTGGACCAACTCAGCTGTGAACAGAACAAGAACACATTGTAGGAACATTAACATTACATAAACAGGGAGCTTTATTTCTTTTCTGTGGCAGCAAACACAACACACTAGCTGTTATACTGCAACCTGAACTTAACTACACACTTTATGGCTGACATTAACGTTACTACCCCTCACACACAGGGAAAGACTCACTTCTGACAACAAACCTGCACAGGTTAGCCCACCTTCCTCAAAGGGGAAGGCTCAGCTGGTAACACACAGCTACCAGCACAGTGTGGGTACAACAGAAGACTTTACTCCACTGCTGAAAATAAATCCTCAAGGAAACTCTGAAACTGATGCTAAAGACCTGTCTTATTTTCTCTATTGTATATTTATTATTGCTCTATTTCTACTATTGCTTTAATAAAGCATTAATAAAGTATTTCCTATCTGATCACTCGATTAATCGATGGAATAATCGATTACTTAATTAATCAATATATTGACTAAACTGAATTCAGTTGAATTGCCTGCCAACAGCAATTAAGCAATAAAAGCAAAACCAGTTCTGTTAGGAATTTACTGTCACCTTGTCTTTCCACCAGATTAATCTAAAGTATCCATAGTGGTATCGATAAAGCCTCGGATCGTTAAGCAGTCTGTCAGAAATGGTATTAATATCCATATAAATTAACAATTCCCAACCATAATCATGTGTGATATGCACCGGTTTTGTGTTTGGAAGGCGTGCAATGATGCAAAATAAAAATAATAATAATAAACTAAAGTAACAAGTCTGTTTTGAAAATGTAAGGAGCAGAAAGTACAGATATTTGTGTAAAACGTAGGTAGGAAAAGTGAAAAATTACAGATGCCTGAAAAAATGTTTTGTAATGTATTTAGTTAGTTCCCACCTCTGCCTACAGATTCAGTTTTGGTAACTTAAAAATTGGGATTGAATGCCTTCTTCCCCAGTTACTGTACAAGATTGGATTGTTGAGATTGATGCTTGATTTTGGTTGATTTTAAATTGTATTTCATTTTTGCAGTCACAAAATCATGAAATCCTAGGCATACTAGGGATTTTCATAAAAACTTGCAACTTCTATAACAGTCGTTTTCAAACTGAGGTTAGGGTCTCTCTCCGTGTATCCTTGTCCTCTGCTCCCTGTATGTCTGTCTGTTTGTCTGTCTGTGTCATGGATGCACAACGAGCAGCAGGTCTGTGTGTCAGGATGGGCAGACAGGATGAAGCTATACTCCAGCTGAATTCACACACAATCCACAAATATGGTTCCTTCCTGCAGGGTTGTGTGGAGGTGTGGCTGTGTGTATTTGTGGTTTAGAATGTAACCTCTGTGAAACAATCCGAAGATAACACTTTATTTCCCTCTCACCCACTGCTTTGTTCTTGCCAATGTCACTCCCTCTCCTCATTCATTCTCTATGTAGCTCGACTAAAGGTGCTCTCTCTGGCTCACAAAAGCTGTGCTGGAGGGGCCAACAGGAGTGTTTAACAACAAAGGAAAAATACTGCATAGTGTGCCTTTAAACAACACAGAAATGCTTATTGTTCACAAATAACTTAAACTCCGAAATTATCTGTGAGTATATCTTCAGTTTATTTATTAAAAACAGATTATTTTTAAAGTGGCCATGGGATAAAGACCCACCTGTGGGCTAAATTTGCCCTTAGAATGCAATGGGATGCAGACAGTGAAATCTAAAATTAAAACCGCCATTTTATAATTTATTGATTATTTTAGCCGCCAGTCCCCGGTGTGCTATTCTCCTTTGAAGGTTTCATGGTTGGGAGATAGTTAGCTGAGAGAGAGTTCGCTTGCTGCACTCAGCTCAGCCCAGATGCTTTTGTAGTGGTGGGTAGTACGCCGGGAAGCATGCAGGAAACTGAGAGTGAAACCTCTCTTGCTCACTCTCAACTGTCTTTCTGAAGTTTCTTTGACACCGCATTTCACACAACATGAAACCTAAAACATAAAAAGTAAAAAAGTACCCCGCAATAAAAACTTTAAAATTTGGAAATGCATAAAACAAGAAAGTAAATGAGATCCAGAAGATACAGGATGAGAGAACAGTTAGATTTCACTTAAAAGGAATTTTAGTCAGTCTCTTAGGCCTTTGCTCAAGATCAAGTGAGCAAATGCATGCATGAACTATACATACACACACACACACACACACACACACACACACACACACACACACACACAAACACATACACACACAGCAGGGACAGGTTGGTGGTTGCATGTCACTGACAAATTAGCTATATTTCAGCTGCATTTCAGCAAACTGCAAACACATACCCACAATACACACAGGCAGTGCTAAGGATGTCCACACACTATAGTTAACTGCACTACCACTTGTCTCTAGTTGAGGAGCCTTCAAGCTGTCAGGGCCAATAAGACTAGAGCATGCTGGGAAGGTATGGGAGTGTATAGACAGTGATGGCAGAAAGGGGGAGTCCAGCGAGAGGAGAAGACATGGTACAGTCAGCATTACTGGGAGTGTTTTACAGTCACTGTGGAGAGTTTGTCACAAGCTGTAACTGTTACTGTCAAGAGACATAGTTACTGCAGGATAAAGGAAAAAGACACCATACACTCGCTCACTGTGCCCTGAAAGACACTTACTGCATTTATTGTCAAAAAATATACTGTCAGACCAACACATCAGGTCGATACGTTGTTTTACCACTGACATCCCTGATGATTGATGATAATTTAATTACATACTGTATATCTAAGTATAAAGCAAGGAGTCTGTCTGTCTGAAAGAACCGTTCATCCGATTGACTTCACAATTGGGTAAACAGGGCACTGCTTTAGTATTGTAAAGAGATCTTAACCTGCAATTCTCCCAAGGGTCGGATATTTCAGTTGTATTTTCTTCAGCAGTGGATACTAAGGACATTTATTCAAATACTGGAGTCGATTATTTGTGCCTTAATTGTTTAGGTTGATTCTTTTTCAACATACTTCTGCTCTAAAACATTACAAAGAGAAAAAAAATGACTTGCATGAATAACTGCATTTATTTGTTAATTTATCATCTTTAAATTATAACTTATAAGTTAATTTGTTAAATATATCATATTGTGAAATATAATTTGCTACAATGATCCCCATACATGAAATTATTATCTGTGCTAAAAGTGATTGTGCATCTCAGTGATGAACATTGATCACTTGGCAGATTTATCAAGTATGGAACTTCTTTTATGTGTAGATGTCGTATATGTGGGGAGAGATGGAGAACACTAGCCGTGTTTTGATATGAATTTTGAACTATCGCATTAGAAAAGTTTGATGGAAATTGCAAAATAAAAAAACAATGCAATCAATTGGAAAAAGAGTTAATGCTCTTAATGGAAGATGGAAACACTTTGTCCAGCGAACATTTAAGTCACAACGTCGCATGTTTTCTGCATTCTGCTGCGCTTTTCATTTTGTCAACTTGTTGCATCCTCTTCTTCTGGTTTTCCGACAGGAGAATTGGCACCACCTACTTCTTATCTTGTGAACCAACTCCTAATATTTGCATAATGGTAGTGGATGGAAACAAGCGTTCATTCACATTTTCTTTTGCTGAATAACCTGAAATTTGGTTAAAATTTGCAACACATTTGGATGATAACATGACTACTGACTCCTGGTC